TCTGAACATGTGTTTATTAAATCACAGACGCTGAGAGAATAAATGATGAACACAAGAGGGCGACTAAAGCTGAGTGTGTTTAAAGTGTTAAAGCTGAGTGTGTGTAAAGTGTTAAAGCTGAGTGTGTGTAAAGTGTTAAAGCTGAGTGTGTGTAAAGTGTTAAAGCTGAGTGTGTTTAAAGTGTTAAAGCTGAGTGTGTTTAAAGTGTTAAAGCTGAGTGTGTTTAAAGTGTTAAAGCTGAGTGTGTTTAAAGTGTTAAAGCTGAGTGTGTTTAAAGTGTTAAAGCTGAGTGTGTGTAAAGTGTTAAAGCTGAGTGTGTTTAAAGTGTTAAAGCTGAGTGTGTGTAAAGTGTTAAAGCTGAGTGTGTTTAAAGTGTTAAAGCTGAGTGTGTGTAAAGTGTTAAAGCTGAGTGTGTGTAAAGTGTTAAAGCTGAGTGTGTTTAAAGTGTTAAAGCTGAGTGTGTTTAAAGTGTTAAAGCTGAGTGTGTGTAAAGTGTTAAAGCTGAGTGTGTGTAAAGTGTTAAAGCTGAGTGTGTTTAAAGTGTTAAAGCTGAGTGTGTTTAAAGTGTTAAAGCTGAGTGTGTGTAAAGTGTTAAAGCTGAGTGTGTTTAAAGTGTTAAAGCTGAGTGTGTGTAAAGTGTTAAAGCTGAGTGTGTTTAAAGTGTTAAAGCTGAGTGTGTTTAAAGTGTTAAAGCTGAGTGTGTGTAAAGTGTTAAAGCTGAGTGTGTGTAAAGTGTTAAAGCTGAGTGTGTTTAAAGTGTTAAAGCTGAGTGTGTTTAAAGTGTTAAAGCTGAGTGTGTTTAAAGTGTTAAAGCTGAGTGTGTGTAAAGTGTTAAAGCTGAGTGTGTGTAAAGTGTTAAAGCTGAGTGTGTTTAAAGTGTTAAAGCTGAGTGTGTGTAAAGTGTTAAAGCTGAGTGTGTTTAAAGTGTTAAAGCTGAGTGTGTTTAAAGTGTTAAAGCTGAGTGTGTTTAAAGTGTTAAAGCTGAGTGTGTTTAAAGTGTTAAAGCTGAGTGTGTGTAAAGTGTTAAAGCTGAGTGTGTTTAAAGTGTTAAAGCTGAGTGTGTGTAAAGTGTTAAAGCTGAGTGTGTTTAAAGTGTTAAAGCTGAGTGTGTGTAAAGTGTTAAAGCTGAGTGTGTGTAAAGTGTTAAAGCTGAGTGTGTTTAAAGTGTTAAAGCTGAGTGTGTTTAAAGTGTTAAAGCTGAGTGTGTTTAAGGTGTTAAAGCTGAGTGTGTGTAAAGTGTTAAAGCTGAGTGTGTGTAAAGTGTTAAAGCTGAGTGTGTGTAAAGTGTTAAAGCTGAGTGTGTGTAAAGTGTTAAAGCTGAGTGTGTTTAAGGTGTTAAAGCTGAGTGTGTTTAAAGTGTTAAAGCTGAGTGTGTTTAAGGTGTTAAAGCTGAGTGTGTGTAAAGTGTTAAAGCTGAGTGTGTTTAAAGTGTTAAAGCTGAGTGTGTTTAAGGTGTTAAAGCTGAGTGTGTTTAAAGTGTTAAAGCTGAGTGTGTTTAAGGTGTTAAAGCTGAGTGTGTTTAAAGTGTTAAAGCTGAGTGTGTTTAAAGTGTTAAGTCAAGTCAAGTCAAGTCACCTTTATTTATATAGCGCTTTTTACAATACAGATTGTATCAAAGCACTTCACAGTGATAACATGAAAACAATATAACAAAAACAATATAACAATATAACAAAGTTTGTTTCTAAAAGAAATTGCGTCAACGTCCACCTTAAGTAAGGCAGATCAATAATATTATTGAATATTAAATGTTAAATGTCCCCAACTAAGCAAGCCAAAATCCAAGGCAACAGTGGCAAGGAACCAAAACTCCATCAGGTGACAGAATGGAGAAAAAAACCTTGGGAGAAACCAGACTCAGTCGGGGGGCCAGTTCTCCTCTGGCCAACGAAGGAACAGTGCATGATTCGGGCAGCATTACAAGTCAGATTGGATCGGAACATTTAGAGTATTTTTTGGAAGTCCAAGTAATCACGCCGGTCTTAAAGGGTCACTCCACCCATTTGCATTAAGAGGTCCATTGTTAGATGTTACACACGAGGTCCCCACGTGCGTTTTATGAAGATTTAAGGTCGGGTTTTTATTTCAGGAACACTTACAACACCCAAAACAATCTCGGTTACAGTAGCAACAACAACGCTCTTCATCAATCGTCTCGCGATACTCTCTCTCTTTTTAATCTCGCGACCTTTTCAGATCTGCCTTCTCCAAATCTCGTCTGCCAAGCTTTTAGCTTAAAAGTCACAGACGGAAAATATACATACTTCAAACTGTGCAGATAGAGCATGAAAAGAACAGAAACATTAAATATAAATAAATATAAATAACAAGACCTCAACAAAAATACAGAAAAATTAAACAACAACTGTGGAATAAAGATAACTTGTTTAAATACACTGAAATTAAATAAAATAGTATTTAAGATGAATAATGGGGGGGGTTACTCCATTACACCATTACACTCTCCCCTCCAAAAATGATGTCGTCCCGACATCCCCTGTCTTCTAAATGTCTCCGACATGATAAGTCGTTGAGATAGGAGTCTGTTATAGTAAGTACTATTTAAGGATACAATGCTGGCATAAACCCAAAATCACATTAACAACTACCTCCCGTGTTATTGTAATGTTTCTGTAGTTGACAACATTGTGCACCATGAAAGCAACTACACTCCCCATCTTTAATACGGACGCTGTATCCTTCTGCAGGTCTCTTGTACCATCAGCTCAAATTTAACCTACAAGACAATCAGTATCACCGGGATCTTCAAATTCTAATTATCAGAGTTCACAGTTCTTCATTCCCTTCTTTACCGGTCTGTCATTATCATACGGTATCTGATTGAACAGGGTCAATGGAAAATACAAATTCTACATCACAACAATGTATCTAAACTCACCTTCAACTATCTTTAACTGTGTTTTGTTTTTTCCATATGTGTATTTTTATGCGTGTATGTGAATCTATTGTATGTTTTATTCTAATATGGGTTCCCCTAGAGTATGGTAAGTGAATGTCTGTTTGTGCTTTCGCTTTCTCAAAGGATATAATCTCTGTGGTAGTGCAGGTTCTGGCCCCTGGATTCCACTTCCCTCTTGCTCAGGGGTGGCTCCATCATCTGGCTCCGGACTCAACTCTACTGGTCCTTTATCAAGTGTCATTTGTCCTTCTGCCTCGGAGGCCTCCTCTTCCCCATTTCCACACCTCATCCTCACTTCCTCAACATGCTGTGGAACCACCTCTTCCATGTCACACTCCTCCATCTCCTTGTATTGCCCGTCTTTTACAGACTTCTGTGTCACTTGTGGATAGCATTCTTCAGCCTCTGACAGCAGCTGGTCTTCACACTGGCCCGGTTTACAAGGTCTGCAAAATCCTGTCCATTCGCTCTCATCCTCAGAGCTACTTTCCACGGCTTGCTGCTCGGACTTTGCTTTGCTGAGTTTTTGTTTCACCATCTTTTCCAGAGTTGTTGTGGTTTGTTCTATGGGCAGGAATTCACAAGGCAAAAGCATGTTTCGATGGAGGACCCTGACACGCCCATGCCCAGTTTCAGGCTGCACCTCATAGACTGGACACTCTGATCTCTTTTTCTGGACCACATAGACCTGCTCCTCCCAATATGATCGCAGTTTTCCTGGGCCCCCTCTTTCACTCATGTTCCTAATGAGAACTCTACAGCCTGGCTGTAACTCCACTCCATGGGTCTTACTGTCGTACCTGTCCTTGGCCTTCCCACTTGCCATTCTCGCAGATTCGGAAGCCAGCTTGTAGGCCTGATCCATTCGCTTTCTCCAACTTTTTGCATATTCTTGATGAGATGATGATTGATCTCTGGGGCTGAGATTGAACATGATATCAATAGGGAGCCTCGGATGACGTCCAAACAGCAGAAAGTAAGGAGCAAATCCGGTTGCCTCATTGCGTGTGCAATTATATGCGTGCACTACTTGTGCCAGGGAGTTCTTCCAGTCCACCTTTTCCCTGTCAGTCAGATTCCGCAACATGGACAAGAGTGTCCTATTAAATCGCTCCACCTGACCGTTTCCCTGCGGGTGGTAGGGGGTTGTTCTGGAGCCTTTAATACCGCTGTGCTGCTGGAGTTGTGCGAACAGCTGGTTGTCAAACTCCTTCCCCTGGTCATGGTGCAATCTTGTGGGGAAACCAAATTTCAACACAAAATCCCCGAAAATCTTTTGAGCTGCTGTCTTAGCTGACTTATTGAGGCATGCATATGCTTGAGCAAAGCGAGTAAAGTGGTCAATAATGACTAAGATATATTCATACCCGCCTTTGCATCTCTCCAAATGAAGAAAGTCCACTGAAACTAATTCAAAGGGGTGTGTTGTGTCAATATTGGTAAGTGGTGCTCGGTTTGGCTTGTTGGGGCGTTTTGTCTTGAGACAGCGACACACTCTTAAGACCTGATGTTCAACATCCCTCTGCATATGTGGCCAGTAGAATCTGTCCCTCATTAAGTGGAGCGTCCGCTCTACACCTAGATGACCCATGTTTTCGTGCAACTCTTTGAAGGCCAACCCATGGAACTTCTTGGGCAGCACCAGCTGTGATCGAGTTGCTGTTGTCCTGTACAGGATTCCATGCTCATCCAGGAACAACCTTTTCCTCTCCCGCATCAGTACAGCACGGCCATCATGACCACTCCAGTCCCTATCTCTAGGCCATCGATTTGTTCTGACGCAGTTCATCACCGTGCTGATCACTGAATCCTGTTCCTGGGCTTCCCTCAGCACGCTTTTGTCAAAGTTCAACACTGCATTCTCCTCTTCAGCCAGTGCGGTCTCGATGGTCACTGGACACATCCACGGAGTGTGTTCTTTTGACTCAATACTGAGAGCTTGGGTCACACAGCTGATGACATTTGGACTCACTTCTATCGAACACTTCTGCATATACTCCTCCATCCCCAATGGCATGCGCGACAGGCCATCTGCATCAGCGTTGGTTTTTCCTGGACGATACTTAATAGTGAAATTAAA